TGCGCACTCCAGGAGACCAAGAAAAAAGGAAAGGGTCAAATTATGCTAGATAATTACTTGTTGATTTACAGCGGCGTGGCAAAAGAAACCAGAGCTAAAGAAGAAGTAGCCCTACTTTTACACAAGAAATTCATTGACCAAATAGAGGATTGTAAATACGTTTCACAAAGAACAGTTTACGTAAAACTCAAACTAAATGATAAGTCTCTACACATAATAGCCATTTATGCTCCAGAGAACAACAGAGACGCAGACACAAGAGAAAGCTTCTTCGAACACCTCCAAAACATGACAAATGAGGTCCCTAAAAATGAATTTATGATCGTTACGGGCGACTTTAATGCCCGTGTTGGCAACGACATCGTACCAGGGATAAAACAGCGTCATAACGAAGACATCAGAAATGAAAATGGAGATCTCCTTACGGACCTATGTAGCACGAATGAACTACGCATCAACAACACTTTTTTCCCTCATAAGGAACAATACAAATACACATTCGAAAATACAAGAGGTCAAAGGTCAATGATAGACTACATCCTGACGAACAGGGTAATACATCCCTCTCAAGTATTCTCAAGACACGGGAGGTTGATAAGCGTGTGTAAACACGCCACAACTCTCTTTGAACTAGTCCTGATTTTGCAGGATCTAAATTTTACAATTGTTTGCCACTTAATATAAGAAATGAAAATAATATTCAAAAATTCAAAAATAAATTAAAAGCATGCTTGATCCAATTATGCGTTTACAAATGATTATTTTGACTTAATAAAAGACTAATATGACTTATCCTATATCACAATGTGATCTGATGGGATTAATAGAGAATATTCTATTCTATTCTATTCTATTCTATTCTATTCTATTCTATTCTATTCTATTCTATCTCAGTGTCAGCGGCAGAGATTTTATTATTACCCAAAATTAAAGAAAAGCTAATCGACGCAAAACAAAATCTCAAAAGTCCGAAATACTTTCCAGTAGCCCATATACAAAAGAACTTGAGAATTTGGAAAAATCCAAAGAAGTAGAACAAAAAAAGAAGACGGAACGAATAAAAAAAAATTAGTGCCTAGTTGTAGTAAATCATTGCGCAAAGTTCAAAAAGGGAATAAAGAAAATGATCCTGATGTAACGTACCCAGGATGTAATGAATTGTATTCAAATTCTGTTGAAGACTGGATCATGTGCTTTTAATGCAAGAATTGGTGGCACGAATCTTGTACGAGGTACGTAACAGGAGACTTCATGTGTTTTAACTGTGAGGAGTAGCAATGGATTTAAAGATGAAAATAAAAATGAGTTCTAAAACATACTTTTCATATTTCTTTTTTTATGTATTTGTGTTGCGTTTATTTTAGAAATAAAGTTTGATTTTTGGAATGTCTTAATATTTTTGTACACTTCAGTAATGTGCGTACTCTTAAACATATAGATGCGTACTCTTATGCAAATTTGTGTACAAGAGTACGCATTAGCAGCTTTGCAAACAAAATTAAATATTTCTTATTTGAATACAAACATGGTTTAAAACTATTCTAAAACATCTTTTGAAATGGTTGATTAACAATGTGAGGAATGATAAATGGTCCATTTTCGTAAAAATAAAAAAATGTCGTACTTTAAATATTAAGTCCGTACTCTTATACGCATTTACCCTGAAAGAAGTTACCAAGAAATGAAGTATAGATTCCTAAAACTAATTTAGCAATTTCCAAAAAGAAAAGGTTGTATTAATCGTCGGTGTAATATAATTTTAAATAAATTCAACAATTATTACAACCATCCAAACTCACCACACAAAATCCATAATGTACGGCCAAAACTACGCACAAACCCACCGCAATCTTCTTCATCGTTAAATTGTATTACCGTCCCAAATGCTTCTTTATTTTTATATACCTTGTATCTAATTACTACTTCCTTCTAAACAATTTAATAATCAATTATCAATGCATGAATGAAAAATTACTAAAACGACTACCTTTACCTTTAATTGCTCCTAAAGACCAATGATTTTCGACGTCGTTTATGAAAAGAAAATTATACAGCGAAACGGAAATGTTTAGGTCTTAATTTTTTTAATTGGCATTTATTAAATACATTGTGATTATTTTGTATTTAGCTAAAGGAACATGAATGGGTTATTGTAAACAGCTATTTTGAGGGCATACTCGGACATAAAATGTCCGAATATCTCGGACATATTATGTCCGAGGTATTCTAATTTTCTTGTTTTTATTGTATTTAAAATTTGCATTTCTTTATTCATTCTTCCCAGAACCCCTTTGTTTGTGATGTGTTCTGTCTACGATATTTTCAATATTATTATGTACACCCACAGCTCGAATGATTTCAGTTTTTTCATTGATGTCGCATTCAAGGTCCAAGATTCCATTACATAAAATAAAGTCGAAAAAACATAGCACCTCGCCAATCTAACTCTTTGTTCCAGTTTTAAATCCCTGGAACATAGCACTCTTCTCATTTAATTGAAATTTGCTCTAGCTTTTTCTATTCTTAGTAATACTATATTCTTCTTAGAAACACCAGTAGAACTATTAAAACTAGTGGAAGAGGATAAGTTACAAGTATTGGCAGATTTATTCAACACGGTGTACGATACGGGAATAATACCACAAGAGTGGCCAAAGTCAGCATTTATAATCATCCCTAAAATACAAGTAGCAAAAGAGTGCTCTGATTATTGAACACTGAGTCTCATGAGTCATATTTTAAAAGTACTGCTGAAAGTAATACATAAGAGAGTATACGAAAGGCTATAGGAGGATATTAGCGAGACGCTAATATCCTCCTCTGAGGATAATGAGGTTTTGGAGGATAATGAGGTTTTCAGGTGTGTATTTTGTGAAGGGCAGCATGACAGTAAAAATTGTTTTAAAGCACAAAAATTTTTTATGGAGCAGAAACGTCGAAATCTGTCAGAAAAGAAAGCATGTTTTCGATGTCTGAAAGTAGGACATTCTTCTAAAAAGTGTAGAGGACGTTTTAATTGTATATTATGTTGTAAATCACATGCTGTTTTGATGTGCCCTAATTTGCCTGTTAATAAAATTGATACATCGACCTCAAGTATTACCCATTAGGAAGAAAATATAACTGAGGACCAGACGCTTACTAATTTGAATAATACACAGATTTTTTTACAAACTCTGCGAATAAACATAAGAAGTGCACATGGTACTAAACAAGTAAGGGCACTTATTGACACTGGATTACAGAGGACATATATTTTACAAATTACCGCGCAAGAAATGGGTTTTTCTGCTAAGGGAACGGAAAAATTGTACATACATTATTTGGCGGTAGAAGCACTTCTGAACAACGACATAAATTGTACGAGGTAACTGCGTGTGAAGGAACCTACGCTTGTTCATTTGATGTCTTATATCAACGAAAAATTTGTGCAGATGTCTCTTCTATTTATGACGGCCCTTGGGATGAGGAAACTCAGTGACATGAATATTTCACTCAGCGATGTCGGAAAGACAGCAGCGATTGAGATTTTGTTTGGAGCTGATATTGTACGCAAATTGTATACAAGGAGAAAATATCAGTTACAGTGTGGTCTTGTAGCAGTTGAAACTTTGTTAGGTTGGACTCTTATGGGCAAGGTGCCGGCAGTTGCTTCTAATTTTAGTAAAAGTATGTCTGTTTGTTAATAATTCTTCTGTAGCGAAACTCTGGGAGCTTGATGTTTTTGGGATAACCGACCCTGTAGAAAAAATGACACGAGAGGTGGCAGCCAAAGAGGCTAAGAACTTTTTCTACGAGACTGGTCGTTTGAGGACTAGGTTTGAGTAACTACTAATTACCGCATTTGGATGCCTGGAGATAATATATTGTTATTCTTAGTTTTTGCAGCATTTTTTACCTCCATGGAAGTTTTTGTTAACTTTTTCTCTATGCTTTCTATTTTTTCCGTTAGCAGGTTATTATTTTCCTCTAGGATTTGATTTTTACTTCTTAACTCACAAATTAGTTCATTTAGCAGATGAATGATCGTATTTTCCATGCCATCGCCACTATTTAAGTTTATGTTAAAATTACAACAAATCACACGCGTTTCATCTAAATTTGAAGTTTTCCGGTCCAATCTCGTGCCGTGCAGGATTTTATGCATGTTAGAATTACAACAAATCACACACGTTTCATCTAAAATTTGAAGTTTTCCGGTCCAATCTCGTGGCGTGCAGGATTTATGGAAGGCTTCCACACTTTACACATATTATTGTGCTTATTTTCTTAGTTTTGCAACAAGTAAATGTGGTTTCTTCGCCCTCGCTGTCGCGATCATTCTTATCGGACGCCATCTATTTATTGGTGATCTTTTTTATTGGTGCTGTTGAATATTGAATATTCAACAGAATGGAAACCGTAAACTCTTTAATAAAGATGTCATTCACTGGTAATTACTATAAATTTGTCCTAATTGCTTCAAGTTTTTGTTTGAAAGATAAAAACTAAAGCTATAAACCTCTCATTGCAGTTATTGCAATTTACAAACAAACAAATTGTTTTTACAAAAAAGGAAGATGATCTTCATATACCTCTCATTGCAGTTATTGCAATTTACAAACAAACAAATTGTTTTTAGAAAAAAACGAAGATGATCTTCATATACCTTTTACTAATTATACATATCTTTTTATTATACAAACAATGTACTATGAAATTCTTTTCAGGTGAGTTTTTAATTTTTTTATATTATTTTAGATTATATTAGACAAACATTTTTTTTGTTTCTATATAATACACATATTAGAAAGGAATATGGCACTGAAATAATGTGAAAAAGGTATTTTAAGGTCATCTTGTTAACAGAGTTCGTCTGTACAATGTACATATTCGTGCTAGCCTCTCTGTCTTCCAGAGTGTCTTTAGCTCACATTTATCTGATGACAGCATTCAAATGTTACAAATGCATAATGTGCAGACATTTATAAACTTGAGGTATCTCATAAATAAAAATAGGTTTAATGATTTAATTTTATTTTTAACAACTATTTACAAAAAAAGAATGTATCTTATTATAACCAACTCTTGGCAGTAGTATGTTTTAAAACATGAACCCTAATTGATGTAGATATCTCTGATGCTGTCCTATTTTGTCCATAATAGTCAACAAAACCACCTTCAGGATTTACTAAATACATAATTATAGTATGGTCCACCTAAAATAAATATATTATTAAAAAAACCAATATCTTTCTAAAAAAAAATTTACGAAGTTTATAATAATGTAATTTTTTTTTATTAATTTTGTTAAGAATAAAAAAACTAAAAACCAAAACGTTTTTATTATCATTATTGTTTTCCTCAAGCACCATGTCCTACTAAAATGTTGAGAAGGAATTAAATGATCTCCCTTTACCTACTCGCTTTCAGAATAGTTATCTAAATACAGTATAGAGCTAACTTCATACCATAAATTACATAAAAAATGTTTTTTTCATGAAATTTATCCCTAAAGAAGTATTTTTACGCTTAATTGGAAAGTATTTAGTTCTTCTAGAACTGAAGATAACATTATTTATCTAGTATTTACTTACAATATAATCACTATCACTATCCTTTGGGCCAGCACTAAAGTATACTCTATAAGCTTTACATGCCTGTCCAACTTGTTGTTCGCTTCCAGTCAGTCCTAACAATCTAGGAGAAAACTCTTTGCAATACTTTCCAACCACTTCTGGAGTATCCCTATTTGGATCCACTGAGATAAATAGTGGTTGGATTTTGGGCATATCTTCAGCCTTATCTAAAAAAATAAATGTTCAGCAAACTTTGTTTTAAGTCATTAACTATGGGAAATACCTAAAATGTCAATAACACCTGCCATTTTCTCTAGCTCATCTGGACAAATATCTGGACAATGTGTGAACCCAAAATATATTAAAAGCCATTTTCCGAGAAACTCATCACTATTTCTTATTTTACCTGTACTATCTACAAGTTCAAAGCTTCCACCAATGGCAGCTTTTCCTAGCATACGCTGTCTTTCTTTCATTTGTGCTGAAAAAGGAAATTTCTTTGTATCATCAGAATAAGGATTTAAGTTTTACCTGCCTACCTTCTTCTTTTTCTTTTTTTAAATACCACATAAATGCTAATAAACCGCCACCTAATACTGCAGTAATTCCAAGATTTTTCCACGTTATGGGCCCAACGCCTCTTCCTGGCGGTTTCGGTTTAGGAAAAGGTTTATTGTTACTATAATTTCTAGCATTTTGACGAATTCTGTTGGGTAGTGCAACCTAAGGAAAATATTGAGGTAGTGAGATGAAAATATCACAATTTTATTAATGTTACCTCTGCACTTTGGAAATAAATGCTGCTTCGTCGTAAAAGTTGAACATTTAAACTTTTTATAACATTATAACATGACATTTTGTCGGTCCAATTTTTTTAGGTTATTAAGTTTCAGTTTGACAGAATGACAGAAAACAGTTCATTTTGACACAGAATACACCAGTTGAGAGGGTGTATTCTGTGCTTTTGACAACAAATTCACAAGTATGCTGGAAAACATACATTTGTGTCATCTGTTCAATGACGTATTGTTGTAGCGAACAAAAGTGCTGACGAAGGAGAACAGAACAAGTAGACCAAACACATAATAATCAGAGTACTAAAAAAGGTCTACAATTGTCCATTGTAACAGATTGTAAAACAAGATATTTAACAAAGTAGAGTTTAGAATTAAGTTGGTATAATTGAAATTGCGACTGTTATATTTCGTGGCATACGACAGACATCCCGCTCAACGTCAAGTTTTTGTATTGCTTTGGAGGGAACTTTTGCCGCACGAAAAAAACTGGGAAATTGTGGGGAATGAAGTATTAAAATTCTTAATATACACTCAAAAATAAAAATGTCCAGTATTTTGCAACCTGTAGATGTAAACGTAGGTTTATCGCCTGTACGGTAAGTGAATTGTGGAATTTTCCAAAAATTAAATTTTATGTTATACTTTTAATTCTTCAGTAAAAGAGCAAGATATGATGATACAGTCAATGAATTTAATAAACATGAGAGGTGGAGTTTTCACAAAAACGAAGTGGTTTTACACGAAACTTTTGATCATGGAGTTGGTCGTTTGGATTGTGATACTGAAGAAATATATACTGATGATGATACAATATTTAATAGAAACATTCCTGGAAGTATAGACATTTCATGTGCTTCTATGACCCCAAACACTAGGGAGAAACAGGTATAATTATTTTACTCTGAAATAAAATTTTGATTATTTTTTTCCTACATAGAAGGCCTGTACGTTCATTGGGAGCAGCCATTCTCAGGTTTATTTAACTTCTGTTGTGGTTTTTTACTACTTTTTTAACTGTTCTCTCCATTATAGATCTTTAGTTGTTCCATAGTGGTTTTCAGGCCATTTTTATTGGATTTGTCTTTTATCTTATCAATATGTTCTCATATTACCTTATTCACCAAGCCTTTATTGACCATTATGATTATTATTCATCTATCTTGTTATTGTAGTTTTGCTATGATCTTGTCTTTAATTGATATTAGTTATTATTTTCTATTGCTTCTATTATCCACTAGTATGTCATATGTCTCCACAGCAACTCTGTAAGTGGAAGTTTAATTCCTGAAGAATTTATTATCCTTGTTATGGTCTGCTTATATGGGAACCACGTTTTATTCAAATTTTTAAACTAATTTTACTAATCTGGTATCCATAGTCTGTTGAGACATTTATATCATTTTAGTTGTAATATTGTCAATTTTATTGTTTGCTCGATATCCTCACTTGTAAATAGTTAATCACTATAAATTACATGTTGGACAGTCTTTTAGATCTGTCTTTATTATAAAATCTGTATTTCTTACTTCAATTCAATTTAATTGTTAACCTTTCAGCTCTCACTATTGGAATCAACTTTACCAAAAGAATCTTTAGACAAATTAACTTTAGGTGAATGGGACAATGTATTATGTGAAAAAATTGTTATAAAACCTACAGATAAGACAAGTAAGTATCTTTTCCTGTAATCAATTTCAAATATATATAAGATGTAATATATAATCTAATGTAGTAAGAGGCACAATAAATGGTATATGCAAGGCAACAACACACAAAAATCTTTGGCATATTGCAACTATTTACTTTTTGTACAATTGTAATATCATTTGCATATAGATGAAATTTACAGGTATTCAATGAAGTGCCAATATTGGTGGTGTTTAAAGTAGATTGGGCCCTAAGGCACCCCCAACAAAATATTTAGAAAATTGGTGCTCCTTTCATCTACTTTAACACTCTATTTCCTATCACACCAGTAAGACAGCTATATTCAATGCATCCATAGATATACTCCATTCGCTCAGCTCGAGCATATTTTGACAGATTCATTGTCGGAAACCTACAACACAACAATTCCTACTTCTCAGTATTAATAGCTTAAGTATACTACTATTGCAGACTTCTTTAATAATAATAATCTTTATTAATAGCACATGGCTAGAAAAATATACATATAGATACATCAATTTATACCCTTAAAATTAAATCACAATGCTTTGCTTAACATATATCTTACATAAATTTTTAAATTGAGCTAAGTTTCCAGAAGCCTTAATGTTTTCCGGTAATTCATTGTATTGCTTTAATCCCCTATAAAAAAGATTGTTCTGACCAAAATTAGTGTTGACCCTATTCAGATAAAAGTTATTTCTAGAACGTGTGTTGTGTTCATGTACATCTCGAACAAAGGTACAATTATTACACAAATGCACAGGTATCAGACCATTTAACATTTTATAAACAAAAATCATACTATTACATACAATTGTCTGTCTTACACTTAAAACATTTGCCATTGTTAGCATGTCAGTTCTACTAGTGTATACACTACATCCTAATATTATCCTTAAGGCTTTATTTTGTTTTTTCTGCAGTACGTTAATTTGAGAAGCATTCATTAAAAACAGCAATGTAGAGCAAAAATAGAGATGGGGAGCAATAATCGATTTATATATGGTCAACCTAGACCAGCAACTTAAATTTTTTGACATTCTTCCCAATGCATAGATTTTTTTTGCTATTTTGTTTGTAACAAACTTAAAATGTTCAACAAAACTTAAATTTTCATCTATAATACATCCCAAATACTTATACTGAACCACTCTCTCCAAAGCAATATTATTAATTTTTACATCTTTTATTATGTTATTTAATTTAAAATTTTTATTCTTTATAAGCATCATTTTTGTTTTAGTTACATTAAGACTTAAGGAATTATTATCGAGCCATTTTAATATATTACATATCTCTTCATTTATTATATCGATTATTTCATCTACCTTATCCCCTATTGCATATATCACAGTATCATCGGCAAACAACTGTACCTTACACTTTTTAACAACATCAACAATATCATTTATATACAGTATGAAAAGAGTAGGACCTAACACAGTTCCCTGTGGCACACCATACAGAGACTTCTGAGCCGATGAAATGGCACCATATTTTGTCACTTGTGTTCTATCAGTCAAATATTCTTGAAACCACTTTATAATTTTTTTACCAAAGCCATACCTTTCCATCTTTCTCAATAGCAGTTGTCTGTTTATGGTTTCAAATGCACGTTTAAAGTCTAAGAAAACCACACCAATCATTTTCCCGCACTCCAGCGCACCCTTCCTTTCTTTGAAAAGAAGAAGAATTATTCGAAATAGTGGAAGTGTATACTAAACCCATCAAATTTTGAGTAGTATATATTTAAAAAAATATATTTTAGTTGTTATAATTTAACATAACTATTTATTATATGGTGCAGATAAATAAATATTGGTTGTCGGTAATTCCCAAAGTTCTATTTTATTAACTATTTAGTTTGTTTACTATTAATATTGGCTATGAGTACGTGTGCTTGGTTGTATAGTAATTTCCAGCCACTTTTAGTGTGTCAAAAGTAACTAACTTCGAAAAAAAATAATTATTAAATTCACTAGACAGTTCGGACTGGGAATAGGGAACCGAGTTTAAGCCAATTGATTTCAAAATTGTGCAGAGTAGTGAATGATTGATAGTGTTGAAAGCCTTAGAGAACTCAATTAAAAATACAATGGTAACCTTACCTATATCTCTTTCTCTCAAAATGTCATCAGTTATTTTAAGGAGTACTTCTCACAGTTGTTAAATGGCCTAAACCCGGACTGAAACTCAATTAAGATATTATTGTTAGAAATATAATCGCGAAGCTGCATTTCCATAATGCATTCTAGAGCTTTTGATAGAGTTAGTAGAATAACTTTAAGGATAAATGTTAGATTCTTATATTCTGTGAGTTATTCACAGTAATTGCCTAAACATTCCTACATTCTTCATCGAACCAGTCCTGCTGTCTTTTTATATACTCTCTTCCTATACACTTTTCCATTGCTTCTGACATGGCAGTCTGTATGGCTTGCCACTCTTCGTCTATATTATATATCCATAGTTTTTTATTTATTTCCTCTAGTCTGTTTACAACCTGCTTCTCTTGAAGGCACTCTAATTGGTAATTTAATCTATCTCTAACAGGTTTTGGTATTATTGGTAGTTTTTGTTTTAGTTTTGCTATTGTTATCGATATTGATAGATCAAAAAAATATATTGGACCCGAAATGTTTAAAAATATCCAGATAACTGTGCTTTTGGTAGTTGCCGTAACTCATCTGATTTCAGTGTATTATGAACTACAGCTTTTGTTTATTGGCCTTATTTTTTTAGATCATTTTGACTTATTAGCAGACGAAATAATACTTAATATCCTAAGGTGGCTACCAAAGACGTGTTTACCGGAAATAGCCTTAGTGTGTAAAAGATTTAGTAGACTCATCCAAGATGAGTCGCTTTGGACTAGAATGGACGTTTCTGGGAAAAATTTGAGTCCGGGACGGTTCGGAAAAATTTTGAGCAACCAAGTGATTATTCTCAGGGCATCAGCTGCAGTGGTAAGTATTTAATAATTCCTACAAGTAATAATAGTCAAATAGGTTTAATATGGATTATAATTTTTATTGAAGAAATCACTAGTTACACTAAATATGTTTTTTAAGAGTTCAAATTTTGATTCTTTGTATCGTCAATATAAAACTTATTCATTTTTTTAAAAGCTTTTTGTTGTCTTTTTGCCATTTTATGTGAATATATTATTTTATTTTTTTTACAGATACATTCCCCTATACTCGTTCCCAATATAAAGGCAGCTTTATCTGACTTCACAGCAAGACTGTTGTATTTAGACCTAGGTATGTCGTATATAACGTGCGAAAGCCTCGTTATAATTTTCAATAAATGTAGACGTCTTAAGAAACTCAATTTAGAACATGTAGAAGTGAATGATGACGTTCTTATAGCATTGTCAGCAAATAAGGACATAGAGGTGTTAAATTTATCAATGTCTCTGGGAATAGAAGAAGATGGACTTAAATATTTACTGACAAATTGTAGAAAGTAAGTAACTAACTACATCATTAGTATAGTAATTTACAATAATTTATACAAAAGTAAGCAAAAACCCAATGTTTTTACTTTTGTAACTATACTATGTTCCACGTTTAGAAAATAACATTGCGGAGATAGGGCCATGTATTTCTTATGGACGATAGCAACGCGGCGTTGCCACGATACACACAAGCACAATTTAGGGTTGTATAATTTGTATTTTTGTTTCCACAAACATGAATTAAATTAATGTTTTTTAACGTAATTGACCAAAAGTGCCCATTGAAACAAGAGATGAAAAGTAGGGAAAATGATTTTAATTAGATAAATAGTATTTACAAAAAATTTTATTTTATCTTATTTTAATTATAGTAACGACAGTTTATTTGTTTTTCGGTGAGAATACGATATTCCATGAATCATAGAAATCAGTAGAAAATATTGACCAGCTTGGAATGCGTATATCTAATTACTAATTGCAACTTAAAATAATATGATGTGCGTATGTCAGCTATTTTATGTCGTTCTCTGACTACATAATGATAATAAGGCTTTTATTTAGTAGTTATTCTGACTTTACAGTTAAATGTTAATTGAAAATGAAAATTCAAAAATTTAGCAGAGGAATATCTTGGACATCCGTGCAAAAGAGAGTGTCTGAGAGTTTTGGCAACACTGATCTCCATAAGCGTAATGTTATTTTCTTAACTTGAAACAAAGAATAGTAAGTTTTAAAATCTAGCATCTAGAGTTTTTGTCACATTTTATATCCACATTGTAGTAATTTATAACCAGTTTTTGTTTTGTTTTAGAATTAGGGAGCTAAATATTGCATGGACGGACTTATCACATAACTGTGTGAAATATATTAGCAAAAATCTACCGTCTTCGATGGATAGGCTCAATTTTTCTGGCTGCAAACGAAATTTGACTGATCAAAGTAAGTTTTCTTCTACTATTATATTATTAATAAATATTTTGGATAAATTTATGCGATTGATTATATCAAATTACACATACATTTACACAAGACGAGACAAAGGACAAACAGTTTAAAAATTATTATAAAATTCGATGTATCTGTTAATGTGTATGATATTCACCATATATTGTTGGATAGCCTAATTTTGACGAAATGCCCTGAAGATGCGTAGGAGCGGAAGTATTTGAGCAGATTTATAAAACTGTGCTCCATATCTGCCATTTAATTTGTTTACTATTCGTTGAAAGATAATTTGGATGAGATTCCCTAGATTAAGATACTGGGCCGATATCAAGCACAAAATGACTACTGCCTTAATGCAGTGGCGCACCCAGGGGGTTTGGGGACAAGATAGTTCATTGTATCTAGAAATATTATATCATAGAAATCTATTAATGGCATACAAGAGTTTACTGTTATAAAACAAACATTTTTTTTGTTGTAGACGTAACAGACATTGTTATGTGTTGCCCAAGACTTAGAGAATTAGACTTATCAGACTGTACGAGTATAACAGGACACTCAGTTAAGCAGTTTCTACAATTAGACGAATTAAATTTTCTGGCGCTTTCACGATGTTATCAAATTACATATACTGCTCTATTGTAAGTATTTAGGTTTAATATTCATTTTAAATGTATAATATTGCCAAAGAGTATAGACGCATTAGAAGAACAGTTGAAATGGGCGATTTGGTTACTGTTATTATACTTCAAAATGAAAGATATAGTTAAGAGGAAGTGGGAAAAGAGTACGAATGGAGATATTTATTTAACTTTACACCCGCGCGCTTAATCAAATTTAGATGCCATTGATTTGCAAAAACTTTTTTCAATTTTTTTTGTCACAATAAAATCTTTATTTTTAATGTATTAAATTGTTAACGTTTTAATTTTAAAACTTAAGAAGGTATGAAATTTTACAATATTCAAAGTATTTATTTTTTTTATTATATGTAAATAAAATTTTATAACTTTGAATTAAAAATAGGTTTGTTTAGAAAAAACCGCCACGTAACTTTTTATTATACTGTTTTCTTGCCCAAAATTACGAAACATTTTTAAAACATTTCAAAATTATTTAACCAAAAAATTTCATTTTTTCAGACCTTTTCAATAAACTTTTTAGACTATTTTTGAAATTATTTCATTGAAAAATTGTCCTGATTAAAAAAGTATCAAATGAAACTTTTTACTAAATTTTAAAATTTTCCATTTCACCGAAACTTCCAAAGCTGAAGCCAAATGTTACTTAGTGTTTATTTACTACATAGTATATTCAACTAGTGTTCAGCTTAGGATAATCAGTTTTGTTTGAGACTCAGGAAAGTGCACCCTGAAAAGATATTTCAATGTCTCTTCACAATTTAGAGTGTATTCACCTGCCTTATTTTGGAGCGAATACTTATCTGAGGGTCTTTTGAGAGAACTTTATGGAGCCTTGACATTTCTACAGTCTGTTCTATGTCCTAGCAATGCCCTCCATGATTCTCTTTTTGTCCTTTTATATTCAGTCCATGCTTTGCAATAATCGCCCCACTCACCAGATCTTTTTAAGCAATTAAATTTTCATCTGACTTATGTCCTTTGATTTGCAAGATTGTCATTTCACCTAGGTACTTTCTCTTTTAATCTTACCTAAACAATATTCCAAGTATGCTTGCCAATTTGTTTACGAGGATTACGAGTTTCCTTGATGTGCTCATTACCTGTTCTCGATGGTCTGAACAAGACACCTCGTCTAGGGCATGCCATTTTTTAAAAAATTGGTGTTTGTACTCTCCCGGGTCAGATGGTAGGCATTCGTATCACGGCCAATGATTAATTGCACTTAATTTTTCATGCAATCTCTCTGTATTTTTTTTAATGAAATTTGTACTTTTTTTTTGCTTTCAGCCACTTAAAAAAGTTGCACAGCCTTTCCTACCTCGACATCCACGGCGGCTACAACGCCCTAGACGAACTTAAGGCCATACAAGATACTTTAGGCGCGAGAGTACAAATCAACAAATTCAAATTTAGCTCCGTAGCCAGGCCCACCGTGGGGATGAGAAGATCTAGCATTTGGAATATGCGAGTCCGGGACTGACGGTCATTTCTGTTTTCTATTTTGTTAAAAACCAACTTGTGATCTTAATCATAGTCATTCTTTATGTAAGTAAGAAGAAAATAAAACACTGAAAATGCATTTTCATAGAATTTTTTATTAAACTCACAAGATAGCTCTTTCGGTGTTATTTGAATACCAACTTGAGACAAATAAGTCTCACTTCCTACGTATATTCACTGCCCACTTATAAATAATCGTATATATTGAAATACTTCAATAGTTTTCAGTGTTTTATCTATAGAATAAATTTCCGCTAAAAAAATTCCGAATCAATCAACTTTAAGTAAGAAACTGTATTATTACGGAAGCATAACTTATGTTTTTTTTTTAAGTAAACACGTCAGAACTTAAACTGTACGGTACCGTAAAATGGGGTGAATAGGAACGGTTTCCAAAGTTCAACTAACAAAAAGACACTAACACATGTTGCAAACATAAAACTTATGCACTGTTATTTGGGTCTTACTTTCCCTTTTGATATTTAGGTGTTAAAGAATTAAAAAGTTAATACTCTAATCGCAAAAAAAATCAAAACAGTATGAAAAACTATTGCGTTCCTATTCATACATTTGTAAGGTCAATAGGAACAGGTAAAAAGTGTATAAGGTGTAAAGTAACATACACATATAAATATAAAGTTTATTTTATTGGAAAAATTTATTGTTGAAGATGAAGAATTCACTTTTAAGATCGGCTAATATAAACACAAATCACTAAGATCATTGTTAAAACTCATCATGTTTTTAAACGGAGACGAGGTATTCACGTATATACATACAGACAACTGTCTTATAATATATCATCTGGTTTTAAGCCTGGGGAACCTTCTTTAAAAAGACTCGTACGTAGCCGCCATCTTGATGATAGAGAACTTTATTAACGTACAGCCTGAAAGATTGCTTGGTCTTACCATACACTTTGACCACTAAGAAGTCTCCACAGTTAACGCAATGGTCGTTTCTTCATCAGATGACAACTAGCTCCTTGTCACTGTCATGGAGAGAGTTTTCTGAATGCACTAGATTCTCGTTTTAGCTTTTTAGTGCGACTGGAAACTTTTTTTGCGGCATTCAGTTCTATGTTCTCAACTCCTGATGGTCCTGCTTCAGGTTCAAACTCTTCCTCTTCTAAATCTGTACGCCACAACACTTTTTACCGTTCGGTCATCAAGATGACAACTAGCTCCTTTGTCACTGTCATGGAGAGTGTTTTCTGAAGCACTAGATTCTCGTTTTAGCTTTTTAGTGCGACTGGAAACTTCTTTTGAGGCATTCAGTTCTATGTTCTCAACTCCTGATGGTCCTGCTTCAGGTTCAAACTCTTTCCCTTCTAAATCTGTCGCCACAACACTTTTTACCGGTTCGACATTCATTTTTGTTTTCTTTTTCTTTTGTCTCTTAGTATCAGACTGTCTTTATGTCTTCAAAAGTTCTTTAAAAGTGTCATCCATCCCTTCCACACGAACAGAACCTGACAAGGGTGTTTGTGTTCCAGATTGTCTGGTATTATCATTGTCTGAGTTCGGCAGCATCCTTAGGACTTTGGTGCGATGCAAACGCATGATGCCACATTTTTTTAAACCCTAATTTAGCATTTCCTCTGAAAGACTACCAGTTTCTTTAATAGTCTAGGAAACTTGTCTTTAGCTACTCTGGATTCATTCCTGCTGGCCCTCTTTTCCACTCCTCAACTATTTTGCGCCACATAATTCTTCATGGGCCTGAAGAATGCCGCATCGAAGAGTTGAGTAAGGTGAGTGGAATTACTTGGTAAAAATATAAACTTGATGATTTTTTCTTGGCATAATTGGATTAAATCGATTGACAAGTGAGACGACAAGTTGTCCCCAATCAAGTATTTTTTCCCCTTCTAAGTCTTTGAAAAAGGGAATTACAATGGACTGAATCCAGTAACTGAGTAACTGAAACAAAAACTATCAAACCAACCTGACTTGGTACGATTAAAACGAGTTTTTCGGACCTCCCTCCATCCAACTGTATGCATGTCTGCGAAAACCTGTAATAAAACACTGATTACAATAAGAAAGTAAATTGAGCAGCCACTAACAAAAACAAATCAAACTCTATGGAGGTATTAAATAAACAAAAGTAATTTCTAATGTGTAGTGTGAATGGGAAACACGGTCAAATATTATGTTCCTGTTCACCCCACATATCTCAAATTCATGACGTGAACAATAAAAACGTTGTTTTGTTAACAAAAACTTTAACATATAAATCAAAATACAATCATGTTAGATAGCTGTAAAGGTTAGAATACATAAAAAAGAGTACTCGTAAATCTATTTTGAGACAGAGATTTTGTACTTACCAAGAAAGTTTTTATGATGAGAAATAACCTCAAAATTAATTACCTTGATTGCACGCCGAAAACATAGGAACCAGTGACGCCAACAATACAAACTTAAATTTTCCAAAGCCATACAACATTAGCCAACCTACAAAACTTAAATAGTACAACGAAAATAATATATATTTTTGGGCAGATTATTATTATGTTTAGTGAAGTTTTGTTCCTATTCACCTCATTTTAACGTATGTCATTCAGTATAACCGAAAAAAAGCATCTAATAACTTACAAATCTTTGTTTTTTATTTAA